ACTTGAATGACAAAAAAGTGGACTCTTTTTGACTGTAAAGAAGTATTCCTGTGAAACCTGTTATTCCAGTGTGAAAATCCTTACTAGACCTGGTGTCACAATAGTCCTGTGACACCGCCCAGCGCACGGTAAACTCAAACCCTCAAGTCCATCACTAGTGTGCGTGAAGGAGAGAGTGATGAGAATAGGGAGTGAGGGGATGGGGGGTGCAGTGGCCTAGAGTTTGGCTGACCAAGAGTTCTGCTCCGGCGAGAAACTACACCACGGTCTGATGCCCTAGGTTCTGGGAAGGCTGGCGTGGAAGAGGTAACCCTTAATGAAGTGGCGTTGAAGGGAAGCTGTACTGGAACGTCGCGTCACCTGCGAAAGTTCATTCTGTGGAGGAAATTCTGCCCAGCGGATGTCGCTCCGATTGAGATGCGGTATTTATGTTCGGTGATTCCGTGTCGTGCTCTTGTGGCGCATTCCGGAGTTCGTGTTGCTCGGCACTCTCTTAATTCTCTTGCATTCAAACGTCTGAACCATGACATTGGGACCAGGGCAACGTTCGCTGTTCTCTCCTCGCTTCGATCTCAGCACAAAGTCCAGGTATGTTTAGGTTATGAAGCGTTGGGTACCTCTCAAAGGATCTAATAGGTTTTTTGCATTTTAGACTGCAGATCGTTCCAAGATACCGCACAAAATGAAAAATGCGAATGCGTCGGAAATAATCTCTGTTTGGAAGAACATCACTGTGACAGAGCTTGCAGAAGTATTCCAACGTGATATTGGTACGTAATTGAATATCCAAGCCCTCCTCATACCGGAATTGAAATTGTGCGATCAATTGTAGATGCCATCTTCGAAGCAATGCTGTACGTTCCGGAAGCCGAACAGTACGATCGTGTTGATTCCCGTATCGATAACATCGGTGTCGTCATTGGCATAGCAAAGAGGCTTGGTGTCCGATGTACCTTAATCGCAAATCCGACCCTGGAAACAGCAGAAGTTGACGACAAAGATGTGTACCGGAGGTACCTTTTGAACCCTTGTATGAATTTCCTATGATGCAAATCTTGTGAATGAACGTAGGCCTCCTGCATCGGCAAAAGTATTGCAGAAACGACCGCCGATTGTTACCATCATGGGCCACGTAGATCACGGAAAGACAACGCTCCTGGACACTTTGAGACATTCTCACGTTGTTGATTCTGAATTCGGTGGCATAACGCAACATATTGGAGCTTTCTCGGGTAAATATTTGCTCCTGTCGTTCTTGAACGTTTTTTTTTTTTTTTTTTACGGTAATTCAACCCGTATCTCGTTATATTTTTGTAATGTTAGTTTCGTTGCAGAAGGGTGAAACGGTGACTATTTTGGACACTCCTGGACATGCAGCTTTCAGTGCCATGAGAGCTCGTGGAGCCCATTGCACGGATATTGTGATTTTGGTTGTGGCGGCCGACGATGGTGTTAAGGAGCAAACTTTGGAATCCCTTCATCATGCCAGAGAAGCAAAAGGTACAGTACTGTACTGAATTTTTCGAATTCCAGTTTTGTCATAGTCTGATGGAATGTGTTTTCTGAATTCAGTTCCGATTGTTGTTGCTATCAACAAAATGGACAAAGCCGGGGTTGACGCTGTGAGTTGATTTTTTTCTACTTTTTCTCTTCGAAATTTGGTTTAAATTTTTTTTTGTTTTTCAAGGATCGCGTGAAACGAGAGCTTCTTCAGCAAGGATTAGCTGTTGAAGACTTTGGCGGAGATGTGCAAGCTGTTCCTGTTTCTGCATTAACAGGAGAAAACTTAGTGTCGTTGATAGAAGCCGTGTTGGCTGAAGCAGAATTGCTTCAACTAAAAGCTGACCCCACTGGACCTGTTGAGGGTGTCGTCATAGAATCGCGAGCTGATCAGAGTCGTGGGTCAGTTCTTTTTAACTACGCGACACTTTTGAGCGATACTGAGTGCAGGGATATGCTACCTTTCACCGTTATGCTTTGTGTAATTTACTAACAGCTGCATTCACTTCATAGGGGTAGTTTTCAAGATATAAACGATTTCGCGACCATATTACAGTCTTCAGGTCAAACTATAAGGGACCTGGAAAAATTTCTAGTGGAGGAAACAAGCATCTTGTTCAGGGAATGGTGATGTGCTGGGCTTTGAATTCCATCTTGAATGAGTTGACAAGATGCTGAAATTGGACGCAAAGGTTTATTCGCCCAATTCGTCTTTCGCTTCCTTGCCAAACGCATCAAGTTAGGTTTTTAATACTTCTCACTTTTGTGTGCCAATGAAGCAAAAGCCAAAATGTCTCCAGAAAATTCGAGTTATTGAGGCTAGAGGGTGAAAGCATTTGAGTTACGGATTTTTTCAATGCATTGTTTTATGAATTCAGACAAAGGCATGAAAAAATTGTGACATAGGTATGTATTTGACTTGAGAAAGTTCAAGTTATCAAGGTTCAACTGTACTTCAAAATTCAAGCATCAAGACCGTACCATCTGTTCATATAATTTATTTTCGTTTTTTTTGTCGAATTTGTTGTAAGGAGACCCAGGGTTTATTCATGAAAATTTATTCTGCGGAGAACTACAGACCTCGCAAATGATGTGATCAGTGAAACGTCTTTCCGTGCTCTTGAAGAAAATCAGATATACTGTATTCTGAAAGCTGTTGAATTTTTAAGGTTGGATGCCTTCGTCGGTTTTGACGCGTGTTAAAGATTGTCTATTTGTGATGTAGGAAACTGGCGACTATGGTTGTTCAACGAGGCACGCTGAGAAAAGGATCCTTTTTGGTGGCCGGAGAGTCCTGGGCAAAAGTCAGGGCAATGTTCACTGACTTGGGGAAACCTCTGCAAAACGCGCCTCCTTCCACTGCCGTCGAAGTCATCGGTTGGAGGGACTTGCCTAGTGCTGGAGACGAAATTCTTGAGGTCGAATCTGAGGTTAGACTCATAGTTGAACTCCTCGCTTCGGTTTCTGAATCAAGAATCACTTCCGACAGAAAAAAGCTCACGCTGTTGTGCATTGGCGTAAACAAAAACGGCTGCAGGAAAAAGGTGAACAAGACGACGTAGTTGTGAAGAAGAAAATGGACGAGCATATTCTGGAATACCGCAAGCAATTGGAAGCCAAACGAGCGTCTGGGAAAAAATTTGGCATAACAATGACCAAACCGTCGACCGTATTCCATTCTCGTGGTTGGCGTGATCACGGAGGACCGAAAGTTGCGTTGGTTCTAAAAGGTTAGATCATTCATTGAACTTATAGATAATTAAATCAATTTGGTGTTAATTGTTTTTGTCGAAAATGTATCGTAGGTGATGTGGATGGCAGCGTTGAGGCCTTATTGGACGTGATAGGAACTTATCATTCGCCCATGTGTTTGTTGGATGTCGTGCATTATGGTGTTGGACCTGTTTCAGCGAAAGACATAGAATATGCTGAAGCTTTTGATGGTAAGAATGCTCTTTTCCTCGATTCCGGGAGAGTTCGATTTTTCTTCTCCGTGAAGCGCGAAGAGTGTTGCCGTTTATTTATCCCTTGGTTGTGAATTGATTTCTGATCAGTTACCGTATTATGATAAATTTGTGTAAAGAATAGGATGAATTTTACCTTGTGTATCAACGTGACGGGATCTTTTTATGATAGAACTGGTCACCTTTGAAGGCGAAGATGGCAAGGAATTTTTCGCTGAGTCATCTCGATATTTTTGTCAGCTTATGTTTCCTTTTGCATCACTAAAGGTTTATGAACGTATTGAGGATCATCAAGGTTCTCCCTGGACTTCTTAAATTTAACTATTAGTGGGTTCTTTCTGTAACGATATGCTCTACGACGTTTTTCTCTGTAGAATAAATTTTTTTCTTGGTCCCATAGGTTCCTTAATACATGTTATGATGATTCCCTACAAGCCTACACCGAATTTTTTCTGGTCTCCTGAATTTCGAATCTCTCTACGACGAAATTTAAGAGACCAGAAAAATTCGTTGCCGAAAGAGTCCGCCTGTATATATTACTTGAAGTTTTTCTTCTATGATAAATTACTGTTCTGTATTTTTAAATCTTAACTTGTTCGTCAATAATTTTAATGTACATGACTTCTCCGAAATTGAAACTCGTATGATATTTTCGCGGGCACGCGTGACGCAATGTAGATTGTAGTTATTGACATCATCTGACAAGTGCTTCTTTTGAAACTGTTCTCCCAGGTCTAGTGTATTCCTTCAATGTCCCCGTCCCTCCCGATGTTGCTACGAAAGCGAAAAATTCAGCCGTGCCGATAAAGAAGTACAACATCATATATCGGCTAATAGACGACTTGAAAGCTGAAATAAATTCCCGTCTGCCGCCTGCAAAAATGCCTGAAATCGTGGGAACCGCGGATGTGTTGCAAGAGTTTTTGATCTCTGACGGTCGAAAGAAACTTCCCGTCGCCGGATGTCGTTGCGTTCAAGGAAGTCTGAAGAAAAAGTTATCTTTCCGAGTTCGACGCAATGAAGAAGTCATATACGATGGTATAGTGCAACTAGTTGAATTCCGTGGGGTCTTGGTTTGTAAACTTGATCCATTCCTGAGGAAATTTTGTTAACCAAATCACATTTTCCCTTGAGAAAATACAGTAATAATTTTAATTGGTTCCAGAGTTTCGAAAGTGTCAATGAGAATCACTAAACTGATTGCCTAAAATTTCACTGGGCCTAAGATCCAAGAAATTTTGTTGAAAAAATTGGAAAAGGAACTCAAAGAAGTGTTGATGAAGACAGGAGTCTAAGAAGGATGCCAGAGAAGGCCGATGGAGTCGACACTTTGAAAAGTAATTCAGCAAATGTATGAGCCTCTTGGTCAGTCCTTCCACACGATTTATTCTCTCTGCATTTTTGTACACTTCTTTCTGCACTAAGCCACATTTTCTTTGCTTAGGAGCAGATTGAGAGAACTGTCGAGGAATACATTTTAAAAAGTCAAACACAAATGTTGGAATACTCGTCCAAATCATGCAGGAATAATTTTTTTTGTGTTATTCCAACCTCAATCCTGTAGAAGAGCAAGAAATATTCATTGGGCGGGCAATTCTGTAGGCTTTGCCTTCATGAGCAAAGTTTATAAACCAAGCCATGGTTTGTTATCGACGGCAGCCAAGGCCAAAATACAAAGTTTGTCAACCAGGGCGTTTGTTAACCGAGACCCCAATTGTATCAGATTTAAATTAGGCAGACTATACCGATGAGTAATTTTTAAACTTGCACGTGCCGTTATTATGTTTCCAAAGGTGCTGTTACTTCTATCCGGCATTTGAAGAATGAAGTGGAGTCCATAAACAAAGACACAGAGTGTGGAATATGTTTCGAAGATCATTCTGTTCGTGTTCAGTTGGGAGATGTGGTTGAGTGCTACGAGATGGTCGACGTATCTCAGACAATCGACTGGGATCCTGGTTTCTAGCATTTCCTCTTTTCCATCGCGTAGTTCCCGATATCGACTATATTTTCTCCATTTTTTTTTCGAAAAATAACGCGTCGTTTCCTCATTTCTTCCTGAGATTATTATCCAATTTTAGCTACAGTTTTGATTATTCTGTTCGAAATCGAATCACTTAGCTGCTGACGATGAGTTTCTTTCTGTCAAATACAATCTTGGGGAAGTTTTCAAATCAATTCTTTTCGTTTCATGGGCAAATGAAACGCAGACTCGCTTGTTTCATACTTAATTCAGTGGAAAACGTGAATTTCTTGGCCTCTACATTATCTTTCGAAGTTGTAAGTTTTTCACTAAAACGATTTAATCGATTTTTTACTCCCAAGATTGTTATCTTCAGAAAAATGGTCGATGATCTGTGGGAATTGAGACTATGAAACCTCTGATCCAAAATTCAATGCCCTAAAGTCAAGTCATGGAAGTTATTAGGATCACAACAAGAAACGTGAGATTCACTGATTCTGGCGGTATTGAATAAAAAACTTCATGATGAGTAAACTCTGCATTGTTGTTTGCAGGTACAATTGAACCTCAATAACTCAAACCCTCTTCGAGTCAAATACCTCCAATATGTCAAATTTTCTCATGTTTCTCTTTGAATTACCTTGGAAACAATGAATTGAAAACCTCCATAATTCAAAAGCTTCCTCCCTTCAAACCTCTGTAAGTCAAATCTTCTGGAGATCTTTTGTCTATCATTTGATTAACTCAGAAAAGAATAAAGCAATAAAAACAACATTTAGTGTGATTTGAAAGGAAGTAAAAGACTGATATGGAAAACTAACCCTTGCCTCCAAGTTCAGCATCCTTCGAACTCAATCGAGGAGCAATTTAAGACCCAGATTATCACTAATTACGATGTCCATTGATTTTTTTTTCTCTTTTCCCCAACAAAAATGCTTTGTTTAGAGCGTCGAATTTGATGGTCCCTGGACTTGAAGAGGTTCGACTATAGTTGACGGGAATCAAATGTAGCTTTCCGCGTTCGAATCGCCTGTGATTTTATCTTCGTGGAAGAATTCCCTCTACTAGAAAAATGAAAAGCTTCTTCAAATCTTTTCAGGATGTGTTGTGAAAACGGTTGAGTGTTTAGGAGAAGAACAACGCGGTGAACATGGTGGTCGGCGGCGCGGATTACCCGACCATCATGCTCGGGATGGAAAGCACCGCCGGGGTCCGACTCAACTCGCACAAGCACAAATTGAAGCATAGGTTCGAGATTGTGCGAAAACTGGGTCAGGGCACGTACGGGAAAGTGCAATTGGCAGTGAACCGCGAGACTGGGCAAGAAGTTGCGATTAAGACGATTAAGAAAGCCAAGATTGAGACCGAGCAGGACTTGGTTCGGATACGGAGGGAGATTCAAATCATGTCTTCAGTTCAGCATCCGAGCATCATCCATATTTATGAAGGTATCCGGTTTTTTTGGTTTTAAAAATCTGATTATTTTTAAAGTGATATCGATCTTTAATTTTGAGTGGAAACGAAGCGTGTAATCCATTTACCGATCGACCCACTTTTCTTGAGAGCTTGTTCGTTGTATAACTGATGCTCGATCTCAGATTGTGAATTTTTAAGTTACTGTCAAATTTTATTTCTTTTCTTCATATTTGGGGGAATCTTCCGCCATTCGTTCAATAAACTTCTGATTTTGGTTCTTTTCACTGTAAAAGCTGGGCGTCTGTAATTTTTCAATTTTCGTCTTATTATTCGAATGTCGTTGGATTCTTTTGACCGTTTCGGTATTTTCATTCGAAATATGTTTGGTTTGAATTCCAGTATGTGGCTTCTTATCAGGTTGGATCAGTTTACGTTTTTTAACTACAGTATTAGTTTTGCTTGAAATATCTCAGTTATTTTCATTACCGTATGTGATTGAGTGCCACGAGCTTCTTTTTTGTCAAATTTGCGAGGAAAAAGGAGTGCGCGTCATAATTTGGTACACATTTTAAAAATACAGTAGTTTTAGAAATTTAGGTTTACATCATATTGTAATTGATTCTAATGAGAAATTTTGGACCAAGTTTTGCTGAGAAACTGATTTTTTTTGGAAATTGATTGAAAATTACTTGAATTCAGGGTTTAAAATCTTTAAATCATGCATAAATTCAACTTTGGGTGCTCCTAGTTGTGAAATATCGTGGGTTTAGATTTAGAGTCACTGAAAATGGAATGCGCATCTTACTTGAGGATACAATTTCATATAAATTTTCAACTGAAAAACCATGTTTCGCGTTCGAGTAAATACGGTATTCCCCCGAATTGTATCTGATTTAAATTGTGCAGAGTATTCCAATGAGTCATTTTCAAAGTCTTTTTTTATTCGAGTTGGCACTTTCCTCTGAGATATCAACGATTTAAATTCCAGTGTGTGGCTTTTCATCGTGTTGGATGAGTTTAGGCTGTTGAACTTGCCTAGATTGCCTTAGGTTATTTTTATTATTTGATGTGAGTGATTTAGTTAATGCTTGGTCAACATTTTCGAAAAAAAAGTCAAGCCGTGCATTTTGAATTTATGCATCTTTTTTTATAGTGTTCGAAAATCGAGAGAAAATGATTTTGGTGATGGAGTACGCATCCGGAGGAGAGCTTTATGATTATTTGAGTGATCGGAAAGTATTGGCGGAAGAAGAAGCGAGGCGTATATTCCGGCAAATTTCTGCTGCTGTTTATTATTGTCATAAGGTTTGTATTCAAGACGTGTGACTTTTAAATTTATTCGTTCATGGTACTCAAGTTTTGTTCGTTCGCTTTTTCAGCACAAAATTTGTCATCGCGATTTGAAGCTGGAAAATATTTTGTTGGACGACAAGGGAAACGCCAAAGTGAGTAACTTGATTTCGTACTCAAGATACCCTGATTGCGTTGACTGGGTTTTTTTTCTGAATGTCATTGTCTTTTGCGTAAAACTCTCGCCTGCAGATTGCGGATTTCGGACTTTCGAACGTCTTTGACAACAAAAACTGCCTGAGTACGTTTTGCGGAAGTCCTCTTTATGCCTCTCCGGAAATAGTGAAGGGAGTGCCTTATTACGGACCGGAAGTTGATTGCTGGTGCGTATCTCAACCTGGGTGTGGATTTCTTGCATTCCATCTCAAACTGACTGTGGGATTATTTTTTTTGTGGCGCTTAGGTCGTTGGGTGTGTTGCTGTATACACTCGTGTACGGAGCGATGCCGTTTGACGGATCGAATTTCAAGCGACTCGTGCGTCAGATCACGAGTGGCGAATACTTTGAACCGAAGAAAAAATCAGGTGAGGCTCGGGCTTTTCTGAGTATACGTGCTTTGTATAACATGCGAAGAGAGAAAGAAAAAACGACTCTTCAAGGCCACGCTTGCTTGGATATCTCCTCGAAAGTCAGAAATAATTTTTTTCCTGTAGCTTCTAAGGTTTCAGTACCAGAAACTATGCTTACTTGGTTTCACGCTGTCATTTTTCGTTTTTTATGTCGTGCGTAATGTGTTTGATCGCTCGTCTTTCTTCTTGGAAAAGCAGTCTTTGTTTAGTCGTTATTCCTATTCTTATTTACGAGGTGGGGATCAATTGAGCGATAAAGCGGAAACAAATCACCTCCTTTAATTTCGTATTGTCCGTGTTGAAATTGATTACGATGGTAGTTTTCAGAGCACAAAATATTCAGGAAAAATCAGAAACGCTGCTAGTAAGGAGGAAGGCAAAACAAATTGAACGAATTCGGCGTCTGCCTTGTTTTAAAAGAGCTTGTATCTTGACTTCCTCGTGTTATCGTGTTTTTTTTTTAAATCTTTTCTAGGTTCTGAAAAATGATTTAATTGCGAAAAGCTCAAGCTTTCTTACGTAACTCTCAATTTCTTTGTGCATAAGAATTTTGTGTTTATTTTTCAAGTCGGTTTTTGGATCTCAAAAATGAATTTTATTCTATAGGTCTCAGGCTTTCTTTTAAACGATTTTATCCGTATGAGGAATTTTTATTTGGTCCCACGAGGTTCTCTCTCCATGTTCTCTCCCCATGAAAAAAAAGGTTTTTGGGAGAATTTCGTTGTAGAGGATCCGTTTAACATGAGAAAATGAGTAAAACGGTGGTCTCGTATGGTTCTCGCACCAGAAAAAATTTTCGTTGTGAAGAACCCCTTTAGAGAACCACCTGTATAAGAAAACCCAATTCCTTCACTATAAAATTCATTCTTTCAGCGCCCGAAACCGAACTTGAGAAATAATCATGAAATTTGGGGTTCTCTCTCCATGTTATAGGGTATAGGGTTTCTCTCCAACAAAAATTCTAGGAACCGAAGACGACTCTTCGTGAAGAGAATTCCGTTGTAAAGAACCCCGGCGAAAAAAAACACGACATTCAGGGTTCTCTGCAATAGAATTCTCTCTACAACAGTACTTGCTGGTCCCTTGGATTTCGTTGTATTTGGTTGATTTTCGTTGGGGTTCTCTACAGTGTAATTTTTCAAGAAATATTTTCTCTGGTCCCTTGTATTTCGTTGTGGACAAACCCTTCAGCGTGGGGAGAGAATCCGAAATTTTAATTTTCTTCGTTGGGTTTCTCTGCAACGAAATCCAAGAGACCAGAAAAATCTTTGCAGAGAGTGTGCACCTGCTCTTACCTTGAAACATCTTCGATTATTGCGCTAATTCTTCGAAATTTTTGACGATCAACGTTGTGGAGAGTCCACCTGTTCACTGTACGCTTTCTTCTTTACAAGATGCTTCTGAACTCATTCACGACATGCTGACGGTTTCCGCGAAGCGTCGAGCGAATATCGAGGACATTTGCTCGCACTGGTGGGTCAACGAAGGCTATTCCATATCCTGTCTGGAAGTCGCCGACGAACTCGCGTGCCAGACGCCAGTCCGCCTCGACCTACTCCTCTCCATTGCGCCGGCGCCGAAATCTTCGGAGAAACTCGTCGTCGAAAAGCCGGAGACTCTCGAAAAGGACGACTCGTGTCTTGCTAATGGGAATGATGCCGATCCCCGCAGTGAACCCGTGGTTCTCGGCGCAGAAGCATTCCCGGAAATGCCGATGAAATCCAAATCCGCCCATCAACCGAAATCAGTGTCTTCGTCAACCGTGCCGGAGTCGTCGTCAGTGACGAAAAACGCGTCGCAGGAGTGTTCAATTGCTGAAGTGGTGTCGTCGTCGTCGTTAAAAGAAGCCAGTGCGACGTGTGTGCAACCTGCGAGTCCGATCCAAGTGAAACCCTTTACCGACGACGACGACGAACCGGAAGCGAGTAACACCGCAGCCAAAGACATTCCAAAGACGTGTGGCTCGGAGGCAAAAGCTGAAGACGTCGGACATTCTTCGAAAGAAATTCCCGATTCGTCAGTCAAAGACAAGGCCAAGAAAGTGAAGAAAAAATTAACGACGGAAAAGACTTCGAAGGGGAACGTGGATTTGCAGACTATTTCAGAAGCCTCTCCGGAAATCGCGGGGTCTCGAAAATCCTCTACGGCAACTGTAGAATCTCCGAAACCGAAAGACGCGAGCCGAAAGAGTCCGGAAGCAACCACACCGACTTCGGAAACTCCGAAGAAAAAGGTGGTGAAGAAGGTGATAAAATCGAGAACCGCGAAACCCAAAGAAGACCAGGCTGCTGCTGCTGCTGCTGCTCCAGCTCCAGCCAAGTCCACAGTGGAGAAGAGATCTTCGCCTCCGGCAACATCGGACCCGAAAAAACCTTCCATCAGTCGTCGGAATTCAAAAAATATCATGGAAGTCGCGAAAATGTTCGATTCCTCTCCAGCTGCTACTACTGCATCTCCTGCTGCCCCTACGTCGTCGAAAACCCTGGAACGCCCGAAGAAAGTCCTCCTTTCTGGATTGTCTAACATTAAAGACGCGAAAAAGGCGTTCGAAGCCAAGAATTCTGTCGACGCGAAACCGAAACCCTTGCTTCTACCGAGTCGAACTGTTTCTGATGCCAAGAGAAAGTTTGAATTGCCTCCTGCTGCCCCGAAGCCGTTACCAAGTGCGGCTGGGACGCTGAAGAGTAAAACCGAGTCGAAAATTGGAGAGAAGCTTTCGAGAATCGTGGTGAAGAAGGAAAAATCTCCTCCGAAGAATTCTAATCTGTCGGAAGCCTCTGCGCCGAAAACACCGCCTGTGATTGACCAACATTCTGTACCAGAAGCATCCAAAATTTCCGCTTCGTTACCAGAGGTTGAAAAGCCGGTGGAAAGTCCACCATCTTCTAAAATAAGCCCTTCCAGCAACTCGAGGCCAGAAGGTGACAACGTTTCAGAATCTCCTTCCGTGGTCGAGAAAATTGTTGCACATCCTCCTGCTGCCCCGAAGACGCGGGAAAACTCTGAGCTTGTGACGGAAAAGGTTATAGAAACTCCAATCAATAAAGAAGCAGTGGTTCAAGAAGGACAAATTGGCAGTAGTGTGATGAAAACTGCTGCAGAAGACGCCTCGAGTTCGCCAAAATTTTCGGAACCCAGCAAAGCACCAAAGAAGAAAATCGAAACCGAGAAACCGAAGCTCAGTTTGAAAATGAAGCATGAATCTCCGAAAAAGGCCGAAGATCCGCGTCCGAACTCGACTGATGTGAGTTATATTTCGTTGACTTGTGTTAATTTTGGCTATTAAGCGTAAAGTTAGGTGAGTATAATTCGTTTCCGTAGATAATAAAACGAAAATTTCCGTCGAGTGCATTGGAAAAATGGAGTAGTAGAAGTCAACGGAATTTATGAGAGTTGCTGATCATTTCTTCGACTTCAATTTTCATCACTACCTTGGACATCGATTGAGTAATTTCCAGAATGCAATTGTCATAGTTGTCTTATTGAGAAAATATTTTGCGACGTGACGTACTTCAGCAAATTGGTTCTTCTCACTGACCACAAATTCTCAGGATGCATCAAGATTACATGAGATTTCTTCCGTCTAACGCATGAAAAATTGCTGGAATAAATAATTGCGGATACAGTAATTGTAATTAGTTTTTCCCAAAAATGAAACTCTCTGAGATCCAAATTGAAAAATTCAAAATTTTATTTTAAAGCTGAAATTTATGGTACAATCTACGTGCAAATTATTCATCTATGCCCTGATATGAAAATTCTTCCCTTCTGGCACTCGAAGATGTGTAATGTTGTGTTCTAAAAATTTGTTTCAGCTGCATTAATGATGTATGCCTTTCTGTATGTACGGTACTTGGTTTTTTATCGTTGTCCAATTGTTGAAAAGGTCTGCAGTATTTGATCTTTACTTGCAGCAGTAAAAAAAAAAGAAATTGCATCCTCACCTGACTTGTAACCTACAATGAGTTTTTCTCTGGATGTGAAGATTTATTTATCTTTGTTTGCATCAGGGCATATTCAATCTAACACCGTAAAAACATTCTGGGCACATATAAGATGCAGAAACAACTTGTTCTGATAATAATTGATGGTTTTTATATTCAATGTTCTATTGTCTTTTGGGTCCACAGCATGGGTCACACTCTTCCCCAGTAAAGTCTGAAAATCAAATTCGGTTAACAAAATTTTGTCTGGAACCAATCAAGTTTGTCAACCAAGAGTCCACTGTATTTGACTTGGAGAGGTTTGAATTGCCAAAGTTGAACTGTATTTTTCATCATTGGGGCTGTAAGACCGTCTTTATGGAAATATCTCCATCTGTGCGAGTTGAAGCCACGATGAAGATCGACAGCGGCCCGGAGAACACACCGTCTACATTAGCGACCCTCGGATCCCCGCCGACAAACAAACCATCTTCTTCTTCTTCAGTCACCGAACCGTCTTCCCAGTCAGCAATCATACCAGGAACAGAGACGAGTTTCCTTCGAAAACTCACGGCTCCTCCGCCAACCACGACTACATCGTCGTCGTCGTCGGGGATGACGTTCACGTCTCGTCGACCCCCGGTGATGCCAGTGTCGTCATCTACAGTTGGTTCGCGAGAAGGTTCGACGACTCCTACACCGCAAGAAACGCGTTTGGGGGCAGTTCGGGCACAAAGCCTGGGGAAGGAACGATTGGTGCCGATTTTCTTGGCGGATTCGGACGTGCCTGTGAACAATTCGACGCTGGTGGCGAATTCGCGCGATGCGAGTGCGCGGTCAGTGATTGCCACTGCGCTGGAGCGCAGGAACTCTGCCAGGTACTTTTTTTTCCCCTCGTACAGTACTTTGTAAGTACTGAAGTTTCGGCGGACGTTTGCAGTCACTCCTTAAGCACCAAGAAAATTCGACTTGGAGTGGTTTTTAGGAAAAAATTCGGGTTAGGGAGTTTTTCTGCTGAGCAAGGTTCGAGTTGAAGAGTTACGGCACAACTCGAATTTTTTTACGTTTAATTTTTTATAATTTCTCAGTATTTTTATGAAATTTCTGTAATTTTTTTGTCTGGATTATTTTTTGCCCGACATTAATTGTATTGCATTTTTGAATGTATTTTTTAAATTTATAAAATGGCATTTTGCAATGTATTCTTGTGCTCAACAGGCAATCTGTCACTCATCAAAAAGTTACTCCTATTGTCTATGGAAAAAAAACTGTAATGTCGGATGACTCGTATCACAGTTTTTGAAAGAACAAAATCCAAGATATCTGTAGAGTGTTTAAACTAAGGAAATGCTCGCAATCTTTTTTATTCGTGAAACAAATGAATTTAGACTGCCTCTCATTTCAGTACTTTCCAGTGTTCTGGACTAGGTCTTGTATTTACGGTATGACTAGGCAAAAAAAAATGTGACAAATTAGTGCTATGAAGCTGTAAAATTATGTGTTGAATACTTGAATTTCTCCTATCACATGAAAATTGGAAACCAAGCTGATTCAAATTTCCCCGTGGGCAATCTCTAATTTTTCGTACGAATGTAGTATTTCATTTCCAGATTTTGGTTGATGTTGTGGCTGTGGCTACGCCTTATTTCTAAGAGATGTTTCGGATTACTCTATGTACAGGTGGACTCTCTTAAAAAAAAAACTTGTCTTCAACGATTTTCTCTGTATAACTAATTTTCGTTCGGTCCCATAGGGTTCTCTCTCATGTTACAAAAATTCTCTACAATAAATTTCTTTGGTCTCTTGAATCATGTACCACCAGTACCCCTTTCCTCAAAAATTAAGCTCGAGAAGTGGGGTGCGTGCAATACTCGAGTACTATACAGTATAATTCTTTTCTGGAAATTCTGTACGTTTTTCAGCGCGAAGCATACTCGAAGCACATTTAATCAAGCTTAAATAAATGAGTATCTTATGAAATTACAGTATTATGTTACACATTATCTTTGCAAGTTATTTTTTCTGGTCCTTTGAATTTCATAGAGAGAGTCCCCTATAGCAAAAAGGTACAGTACTATGAAAATTCGTTTTAGAGAGAGACCACCTGTTTTTGCTTCAAAACATCTGCGCTAGCGTATTGCGCTAATTTTCCTGCCAAATTTTTCAAGTTTTTGATGGGTAACGGACTTGTCCCGCGAGATATTCCGTGTTTTGAATAATACTGTACTGTAAATTGAAATCAGTATTGATGGGAAATTCGTGTCTCGATGCGTCGGATGCACTATATCCCCCGTCCCCTCCTAGGTGTGAGAGAAATTGGGAACGATTTGCCCCGTGTTCAGGCGCGGAAGCGTCTCCGATGAGCCTCCAGTCTCCGTCCGTGTCTTCAACGTCAAGCCTCATGGGATCCCTTTCCTCGCAACCCAGCATGATACCCACTCCGAGTCCCGCGGGCGTCTCTTCGTCGACGCACCCGGGCCTGAAGCATAGTCGGAGAGAGTACATCATTCCGATTGCGTTGGAAGACGGCGGGTTTGCTGCGACGCCGACGCCGACTCCTTCGTCGGCCACGTCGATCGCGTCGTCGATGAGCTCGTCGCCGTTTTTCAGCAGGGAAAGGAGCATGACGCCCGGGGAGACGACTCCCGAGAGTGGGCGATGTTCTGCGAGTTCTAGGACCTCTTCTGGGAGGTAATGAAGACCGTTATTCATTTTTGTCAGTGCCAAAAAATGTCACAAATTCTCAAAATTATTTTAAGCTAGAAAAAACATTGCGATTGCATTTTTCCTCTGACCGGCATGACGTTAGTCTTGCAATTTTCATTTTAGTTCTTATTTTATGATGATAAATTCTTGGGATAAAAGAGTTCAAAGAATCGGAATAATGTTCAACAAACATTTGATCAAGTTGAAGGATTTTTTCCTTCGAGAATAATTATTTGCAAAAAAAAATTACTCTGCGTAAGTCTTTACTGAGATATTGAAAATATTTGCTCAACTCCAGACGAGGTGCAGTTTCGAAGTTTTTTGCAGAGGGTCTGCTATTTTGTTTTGTAAGAAGATAAATCTAACAAATGTTTTTCTGTCGATTCAACAGGAGAATGTGGAGCTTATTCAATGAAGATGATGTACCCAGCGTTGGAAACATGAGATTGCAGAGGTTGTCGTCGTTTGGGAAGAGCATGCCTACGTCGAATGCTGCGTACAGGGCAGCAACTTCTGCGAGGAAAACTTCGAGGTAGTGATTTTATTGTCTGTTATAAAGATACGAGGGTTCTAACAAAAGTTCTCGGAATGAAAATGAAGATGGCGTCTAATCGAGCTGGAAAAAAATTATTCTTTAGGGCAACCATNTTTTTTTTGTGCCGAAGAATATGGTTGCCCTAAAGAATAATTTTTTTCCAGCTCGATTAGACGCCATCTTCATTTTCATTCCGAGAACTTTTGTTAGAACCCTCATAATTATCGTTTGTGTGTTCTTTTGTTTCTGTCGTTTAAAATCCTGTGAAATTTCGTTGTTGAAGTCAATCGAAGCCGTTCAAGTCGAGCATCGATCGATCTGATAGCTTCAGTTCTGCGGGGGAAGAAGATGACGACGAGGAAGGATTTGAGATTCTCACTGCCGAATCTTTGTTCAGTACTTTGCTTGCGAGGGTGAGTTGAAAACCAATCATTTTTGTTATGAAAGGAAAGAAGGAATACAGGATATTTCCATTAGTGATATTTTGGGCCTTAAATTGCTTCTTGAATGAGTTGACGAGGGTGCTGAACTTGGAGGCAAGGGTTTATTTGCCCAATTAATTTTTCACTTATTTCCAAACCGCATGAAGTTAAAATTATTGCTTTTCTCTTCCGTGTGCCAATTAAATAATAGCCAAAAGGCCTTTTAGAAAATTCTAGTTATGAAGGGGAAATCTTTCCATGAGGGAGATTTTTTAATGCATGGTTTCTAAGGGAATTTGGACAAGGGTTTGAAATAAATTCAACATTAGAAGGTATTTGAATTAGCTTTGAATTATCTAAGGTCAACTATATTTTTTTAGGTAAAATATATTGCATCAAAATTTAAATTTTTATTTGAATTGCAGTCAAATTGAATGTTAATTTCCTTTGGTTTCCATTTCTGTCCGTTCAAATTGGTTCAAAATTCCCTCGTGTACTCTGTACTATTCGATTCGTGCGTTAAATATCTCATAAACACTGAATGTTTCAATTGTTGAAGGATATGATGAAGTCTCGTATTGAGGAGAATTTTGAACTTCAGTTGAAAAAATTTGCCATGACTTGCGTAAAGTTTGTGAATATCCTTATGTTTTGTTTCTGAATTAATGAAAACTTGATTTTTCAGGTGAGGAGCTTGTCGCGAAGAATGAACAAGGACGGTGATATGTTGAACAGAATGCAAATGTCGTCTCCCGCAGTGACGACGACCATGTCGGAACCGACAAGCCAAAGCTCGGCGTCTTGGTCTGAGAGGCCATTGCATACCAGGTAGTTCCGTGCGATCGATAACACGAGTGGACATCAGCTTGAAGCGATTTCATCTTGGCCAGTGATGAAATTGATGTCATGCCATGATTTTTAACAGCATGCCGGATCGAGTACAAAAGTAGACATCCATCAAATTTGTCGGGAAATGGCCAGTATGAGACGAAGGAAAGGGAAAAAAATTGTTTCTGATGTTTGGAATTTACCTAACGTTGAACTAAAATTCACGGGTATGTCGGGATTTCCTTTTTTTTTACGTGTCGACAATCATTGCTTTTATTGCCGAGTCGTTTGTTTCCGAGCTTTTGTGTAATCAGTAACGATACTCAGTCTGTCTGGTCGGTATTTTCTAAGAGTTTGATTGCGTTTTCAGTTTCGAGAATAATTTGAATATGGCAGCTTCGTACGAATGCTTTTTTTTCGACGACAAAATCTGTGTAGCAACGATGGCCGAAGTGGCATTTCGCTTCTTTCTCTGTAAAGCTTTTCAAGAGAAATCCTGTGGAAAGAATGTATTCAGCTAACCACCGCTATTTTTCTTTTTAACCTCAAATAAACCCCCGTAAGCGCACATTACAGAACTAGGATTTGAAAGTTCCTTCGTCTCCTAATGAGAGAAACTGCTGGATGACTTTTTGTCACGAAGTTTGATTTCCTTTTTTTTCAACCCCGGGAATCGAAGAATAATTTTTTTTTAGGGAAGAATTGAGCGACAGTTAAAAAAGTCCAAGTTTTGGATTTGAGGACGTCTTGCCAAAGACAGTAGGAAAAAATTTAAGATTTCTTCTTTTTTGGAGTTCAAGATTCTTTTCAAAGTTTTTGCTATTTGAAACGCGTTGATTGGTCTCTGTGTTGCATTTTATTCTGGTCCCCCTTCCATAATTGGTAAATCGGATGTTTTCGTGCCTCTCATCTCCCCAATAGGATGACAAATGAGAGGACAATTATTAATGGACACGCGAATAATCTTGATATCATATCTCGCTTTGTAAATGCTCTGTGTCTTGGTCAAAATTTATCAACCTAAATTAACACCTTTTTGTGAGAAGTTCAGTTATCTTCTTTGATCACTGCTACCATTCTTTTTGAATTTATTGCTGAGCTCGAGGCACCCGTTTCCCTTCAAAAAAATTCGAAGCAAATACGAACATGTCATTTGGCAAATACGAACATGTACTGTAAAACATTATCGCAGATGTTTGGAAATTTCAGACTGAGTATAACTGATCGCTTTTTTCAGTTCTTCTGAAACAACGAAAGATACTGTACTACTTAAAAAGAAATAACTGGGTTTGCTTTCTACTTTTCTTTTTATTCCTTGTGTCCGTCGAAGGCTGAGGCTAGGTATCTAAAAAATTAAATGGAACTGCAAAAAGTTCAACAGATTTTCTCTTTTGCTGTTCTCTTAGAATTATTTATAGAATCGACTGGCGAAAGTTCAGGAAAAGACCCTTGTAATCTTCAATATTCAGTGTTCATGTGTAAGTCGCTCATTTTTGTGAAGGCGAGGATTCTAAGTTGGATCTTTTTCAGTTTTTGTGATGTTGGAGGAGGAGATACTACGGATGGTTTCTGATTGGAAGAAGCAGGACTTGTTGAATCGGATTGTTGCTTGTTCTGCTTGACTCGACATGAAATAGCTTGTGTCGGAAAGGCTTGTGTTCGTTGCCTAACAGCGTGGTGACATTTGTGTGTGCTTCCATATTAACGAGTGCCATTAGCGTGGACCCCTGATGCAGTTTTTTACCCCCGCACACCCCCTTTTTGTTCCCCAGGTTGTGACGCGAGGGAATTTTGTTTGTTTAGTCATACGAAAAGTTGCCATCGATACGGGAAAAAAGAAAAGAAAATAAACCCGTGTCAGCTGTGTAATTTTTGTCTGTCCTCTTGTCGATGTTTTTTTTTTCTGGAAGAATGGCCGAATTTACCCCCTGCAACGAATTCAACGAATAGCTTTGAGTTTGCCACTCGCATGATTGCTTCCACGTGTTCACTAATGACGTGCAGGATGTCCGGAAAATTACCCCATGAAAGCTTTAGCAACTTGTTCCCAAACTTTTCTTGACAGTGTTTTTTTTTTCGAGGATTATATTTCGTAATTTCTTTGCGTCGTCTGAAAAAAATACCGTATGTGTAATTTATGCACGCGACTCACGATTTCCTTGAAAAAGTTGCTTAAACTTCCTGTTATTCTTGGAAGAAAAAGACATTTGGCTAGTCAGTTTGCCACAGGATTTTTTTCCGGACACCTTGTAGAGGATATTTTTTTGTCGCAACCCGAAGACACTTCGGGGAACGCGTCTATTTTGTTCATGAACGCTAATTCGAATTTTTTTTTCGGAAGAAAATTCAGTCTCTCGTGCTTTTGTGTTTTCGAAATGAGTGAAGAATAAATGCCTCTGGATGGATCCGGAAAAGCGAGAGAGCATGACTTAGTTTTGCCTGTTAGTTTTTTCCCCATTCCTTTTTTTTAATGGTTTTGTGAAATCGGTTTTGTTTTCATCGTGTCGAGTGTTTTTTGTTGTTTTTGAATGAGTGCAGGTGTGGAACGAGGGCGTCGAAATCGCCGGTGAGAAGCGGAAGTCTGAGAAGCACCTACGCGACTTCTGGTGTTGCGTTGGGTTCATCTGGGAACCCGGGCTTTGGAGGGGTTCCAATAAGAAGCACTGCCACGCTTCCGAGGTCTAACCAGAGTTCCCCGGCGCATTTGTACCGTTCGGGATACGGTCGTAATTTCGGTGATATTTTTGCACTGAAGATTCCGAAATGGGAGAATGCTCTATGGTGTTTTGTTTTCTCTCTCTTTTTTGTTGTTGAAAGATTACGAAGCGTACCCTGAGAATGCTGATGGTTTTCGAAAACCGCGTGATGCGGATGTTGATGCTTGCTACAGTGATTCTGCTGCTCTTCCGGGCAGCTCATACAGTTCATCAGGTGTGGAAATTGAGCGTTTATTTTGGTGCCACGGTGCCATAATATTTGGGGTTATGTTCCATAATGTTTGTGAATTTTTATGATTTTTATACCAAATTCCCTCAATTACTGCGTGTACCTTTTTTTAAATAGGGTGCGTGTCATAGGTGGAGTGGAAATTTGTGGAAAAAATTAAGTTGAGGTGTCCATCAATCTATGCTTGATCCGAATGAGAAATTGTTGAAACAAAAATTGTTTGATTGAAAGTGTGGAAAATTAATGGATTGAAGGTTGAATTCATGTTCGCATTCTAACGTCTCTCATTTTTGAATTACAGTAAAATCTCGTTGTAACGAATTAATGCTTGCAACGAATTTTTATTTTTGTTGGTCCCTGTCCATTAGCAAAATGTTAGTTTTATTTCGTTTTAACGAATTTTCTTTCGTAATGAAGCTTTTTTAAGGTCTTAAACGCTTTGTTGTGACAATAATATCCTGCTGTATGTCAGTTTTTCACTCATTTAAAATGGGGTGCATGTTTTACTCAGGGTTAGGATTTTATCAAAATTTTTGGCTGAAAGATCTGGGTGCCTGTATTGCTTGAAGGAAGTGTGGTATATTAGTAGATCCATTAATGTTGATTGAAACAATTGAGTTCATTAATGTTACTTCGACTGCTTGAAAATTCGTAGTACATTGTCGTCAATCAAAAAATTGAATGCATGTAAGAATCAATTTATCACGTTGATCGGGTGCTGGTTCAATTTTTATTTTGACGAAGACGAGCGAAACTTCTTGAAGAAATGATCACATATGGCTCTCTGGGAAGCCATCTAAACTATCTCCATAACTGGACAAGGAAATCAAGAAATCGTCAAAACCTGTGACATAATATTTTAGAATGCGTCTTATTTTTTGCAGGTCTGAATTCATTTTTTTCTGTTTGTGTAAATAAATATTGAAAAAGAAAACGTGTGCGCGTTCTGATGAACCCTTTGGAGGAGGTTTCATCGATTTTTGAGGAAATGCCGGAAACAGGGTTGACTTTTAAAAAATGCGATTAAGTAGAACTGCAAGGGAAGTGGCAAAAAAAATCGAGTTGGGAAAGTTTTGAGTCAGGGAAATATAAGCATCTTTTTTGTTTAAGAAAAAAAAAATAAGTAGTTCTGGAAATTCTGGGCCATTGAATTGATTCTTAAATGAGTTGATGGCATGCTGAAGTTTGCAGAAAGGCTTGATTTCCAAATTAGTCTTAATTTTTTTTTTCAAAAGTTATAAATCTTACATTTTTATTGTTTTTCTTTATTCTGTGCCAATAAAAAATGATCAAAATGTCTCCAGAAAATTTGAATTGGGAGTTTTGAGGAGGAAAGCCTTAGAGTCGGTTCGGTTTTTAATGCTATTGCATTGTTTTCGAGGGAATTATTCAGACAGGAACTAAAAAAAAATCTACCTGGGGAGGTAATAATCGTATTTATTTTATCGAGTATTTATTTTATGTATTTCATCTATTTATCGAGGTACAATTCTCTATTTTTTGCAGCCCGAAGTTCAACTTTGTCGGAGTCCCCGCCGCCCACAAGCGAGTCAACTGCCAATTTCGCCCGACGCGTTGCCAATTACTTCTCACGAGCTCCCAATTACGACCTGCAAAGCATAACC